ACAGTTAACAAAGATAATGCAACAGTTAGATGGAATGACGGAATGATAAAACAAGACCCGTTTGCGGACAGTGCACTCCACTTTTCTCAGTCCTGGATAATTAAATAAAAGCAACATTGAAAAAGGGGCATAACATTGCACAAAAAAAAACTTTTAGAATTATCTGCCCTTTTTTAATGGTTTCCTTTTATGACAATAAACATGCATAACAAGTTTGAAGCGATTCTGTTTAATAGTTTCTGTGAAAATGGACCTTAACCAAAAGGTTAACCAACAACAATGCAAACAGGAGGGTCATCTTGACAACAGCTCCAATTTTTTTCTTCAAAAAGTGGAGCTAATAACCTGAAAAAGATCTAACCAGGTCTCCCGTACAGCAAAAATTACTTATATGAGCCAGTAAGCAAAAATTACTTAATAATGAGCCAGTTAGCAAACTTTTAATAACCAGCTTTAACCCATCTGTTAACTATTGATCTATTGACCATACAGGATGTGAAAGCCATTATTAAAGAACATTTCCTAAATATTTGAAACTTTGACATAAAAGGTCAAGGTCTAATTTAGAGGTCAAGGTGACATTTTTATTTAGAGGTCAAGGTGATATTTTTATATATATAAAAAATTAAGTTTTTTAAATCCCCGAGATATCTTGTTTCTAATTAACAATGATGACTTAAGATTCTATAGGACAGAAGGATGGTTTTATGGCCAGAGGTCAACTAGCAGACAAACAGATCAATCAAAACCACAATGCCACCATTTACAAACACCCACCCTCCTGCATCCTATAACTTTGCTTTCTAACTACAATAAGTCTTTTCTTTCAATACATTGACATGAAAAAAAGAGCAAAGGAACAAAAATACTCAAAACCACAAAATATTATATTACCACCCATATTTCCTGAATGACATACCATCAAATGAATATAGCATTTCATTGCTAAGAACAATTCTAAGTGACTTGTCAATCCTTTAAATTCATTTGCATCTAAAAGTGCTAAAAATAGCAAAAAAAACAACATAAACTGGTCAAGAAAAAACATTAGTACAGACCTTTAACACAGACAAACTATTGTCAATAAACAATGTTGGAATGTCAAGGAGGAACAAAGATATTAAATAGTTCAAATAAGGTTTTGAGATGGTAGATATAAAAGTAAATACTTAAGTACTTAAACACACAATTTTATTGCTAATGTCTCAAATACCTTACATGTATGTCAAATATAAAAAGTCTATCGTCATATTTTTTGCTCTTTTTTTTCAAATAAGCTTTTACAGTTATCCCAGCATTTGTGCCTAATATGTCGGAAAACAACTTTTATGGGAGCATTGGGTTTTAATTTTTATACACATGTACTAATGTTTCAATAGCTGACTGCTCAGTGCCTATAAGGTTTGTAGTAATAATAATAGGCCTATATGCTATAATTTTGTTCCAGAAACTGTTCTCACCAGAATAATCATACTCTTTAGAGTTAGAGAATTTATTTAATTAATACCTAAAGCATACATAAACCAAGAGGGAGGGGAGTATTAGTGGGTCATGACCTACCCCCCTGACCTTGACTTTTCTGTATGAAATATAATATTAGATCAAGACTTTTTGGAGGGTTTGACCTCAGGTGACCCTAAATGTATAATTTCATATGAATTTATACATGACAACTAGGTTTTTTTCAAAAAAAAGACCATTAATTGCCATTTAATAATTAAGGATATAAAACCATTTAGGCTAATGGCTACAGTTTGGTCCTTTTATTATAATCAACCTATGATGTCTCTAGCAAAACATACATTGTTTTATTATTATGAAAATCTTTATGTAGCTTACCATTAATAATGTCATGAAACAAAAAAGATCAATTAACAAGGTTAAAAATTGCCTACATTAATTTTTACCCTATGTTACATGAAAAAAAAACTGACTGTAAATACCAAGTTTTAATGAATTACCTTAAGTTTTAATGAATTCAAAAAATACCTTTATACCAAGTTTAAATAAATTCAAAAAAAATTATCTTACCAAATTTTAATGTATTCAAAAATTATCTTTTCAAGTCTTTACAACTGCTAAAAGAACGCAAGCTGTTTATTAAAATAAATTATTTTACCAAGTTTTGATGAATGAAAAAAGAACGTTAACTATTTACAAACATACTAAAAAAAATTATCTGTTATTAAAAAATATTGCTTAAGTGTGTATCATATTATACACTATTAACGTCAAGCTGACTTCAAAACAAGAAATTGAGGTAAGGGAATTATACAAAGTGATATATTTTGAACCACATCTGTATATGATTAAATATAGGAATGAGTCACTGGCTGCTCATACACAAAGAACACTTTTCACATCCAAAAATTAAAAGAACAGCTTGTTTCCTGTGACTTAAATATTCACGGACCAGGCATACCCCTGGATCGTTACACTCTTAAAGCAGCATGCACACTGCTACACAAGATTCAAAATTAGCAGAAACCAAAAGTTAGCTCTTTAATTCAATAATTTTAACTGTTATGATTATGTTTGTTTTACAAGAACAAGAAATTTCTACTGTTAAAAAAACCCTAAACATCTGAATGTATCCAATTATTTATTTGGTATATATTTAATGGATTATAATTATTTTCATGAAAAAAATATTACAGAAATTAATTAGTGAGCTCATTAATTTAGTGTACATAGTCAGCACTTAAGTGTCCTCACATTTTCATCCAGTTCTACATCAGTCCAGCAAATGTCTGCGAGTTATTAACAAAACACTACCCTCATCTAAAAATAGCTGTTATTTAACTTCAGTCCTTAATATTCTATCATAAAATAAACATGTGAAAAATGTCAGTAAAATAATGGCTGAAAAATATCATCACCCAACTTAGGAGAGTCATTTATCTCAATCTACCTTTCTTTGAAACTGCAGACAGGAAACACGATTGGTATGGCCTCAAAATGGAACAGTTATAAGTAATCAGTATTAATTTGGTGTTGTGATAAAATGTTTCTTTTCATGCAACTGGATGAAAGCTTTATACATGTATAATTTAGGGGCAGCATTTCAAGAAGTGATCAAATCATAAGCACATATATATACATGTTATGTTCAATTTATTTAGACTGGCCTCTAAAATGTTTTGAAACAACCTGGTTTTCATTATTCAAATATTTTGAAATTGAATATTGATTATAGTAACCAGTGATGATTTTGATTTCCACCCCCACCCAAATTGGAGACATTTTCCCCACCTGATCCCAAATATGTGAAAAAATTATGCATGGCCCAGTTCAAAATGGTCAGATTGCACATCTCCAGACCCCTACATGTGGCAAACTATCAGGTCATTATCTCCCTTTAAACTTTAAGACACTTAAATTTGTGTAAAGATATTATTATATGTTAAGTTATTAAATGATTAGGCAATTAGGAAAACAATATATTCGCTAATTCTGCATTCAAATTTTTTTTTAAAAAAAAGAACAGTTATAATAATTTGTTTTTAAACTTCACTTAAGTCTTTAAGCTGCACAAATATTTAAAAAAAATATATTAGTGGATTAGAACACTTTAAGATCGAAAAATACAAATCCAATGTTAATTATGCATGTCAAATTATGTTATAAATGGGAAATTCTTGTCACATTATGATCATAGTTTAAAAGTTTTTAAAAAAAGACAAGGGTTTCATGGGGTCATACATTTCATTATAATGTCAAACATACTTAAGGTTCAATTTTTTCATACAAAGAAAAAAACTAACTATATAAAGAAGTGTACGTTACAACTATTTAAGGTAATTTTATTTTATTCAATTAATTTCAAAAATTATTTAATAAATAAACTAAAAGATCAAATGCATCAATGAATACAAAAATAGTAGGATCTAGCCTAAAAACCTCTAAAAAATAATTAATAAAAACCAAAAACTTTAAACAATAAAACCCAAAAACTAATTAAAGAAAAAATTTCTATTTTCAGTAAAAATAAAAATTTTCCACATTTTCATTTCCCATCACTTTAAAAAATTAAAATTTTAAAAGTATTTCATTTTATCGTTGCAATGAAGTCAGAGCTATATACGAGAATTTATCAAGATTGCCCGGTCAAACCTCGTAAATTTTTGTTAAAAAGAAAATTCAAATTATAAAAGATTGCAGATTTGTCGTTTCCAATTTATACATCGCTTTTGTAATTTACAGAACTTCATAGTAAAAATTTACGCCTTAACTGGTCAATCGTTCCCAACAAAATCATTCAGAACTATCTTTTTCCGCGTGCAAAAGTTGATATTTCAAGGAAAACTACAAGTTTTATTTCGCAATCAAAACCTACTTGTCTATCAATCAAAATTGCGAAATTCGACACAAAAATTTATTCCATCCGAAATCTTTACAAAAATCCAAAAAAACTAATGTTTTAATTTTCCGAATTTTTTCACTTTATTTCTTATTAAAAACTAACACAACTTTACGGCCAGACCAATTATTGCTCCGAAAACTTGTGTTTCGCCTGTACCCCTACAATGTCTTTCCAAGTTTCAATATATTTGTATGTTTACATAGAAAATTAAGACTTCAAGCCGTCATTCAGAACAGTGCATAATGTATATTTGTAAAACCATTGATGGTCTTGTAATTTAAAAAGGGCCTAAATAACTGGTTTTAGGTATTTTTTAAATCTCCCCCTAAAAACACACTCACCACACCAAACTGTTTTTGTTTAAAAGAAATATAATATAAATCTGAAACTAAAAAATTAGTTTTGGTTTCTAAATATAAAGATACGTATGTTTACATATATTTTGTTTTGTCTTATAGGTAAGATGACCCTTAAACACACAATTGTAAATCATACAAAAATGCTATCTTAATCTATGAAGCATTGCATACCGTTGTAATCTATATTAATTAAACACGCAAGATAAATGTCCTGTTAAACTGCTAAATGACACTGTCATTTTGACAATAGAAAACAATTCAAACAGAAAATAACTTACCGGTTCTGCTTTAAGATATCCAACAATAAGGGCGCATAAAATCAGGGTCATTAATAGACCCAAATTAGGCCCCTTCATCTTTACAGTGTAGAAAATCAACCCTTAAATAAGGGTATTCAGTCCGCCAGTTGTCTCCAAAATCAATCAAGACTCCACAAAGGCCACTGCCTTGTATTAAACTAAGTTGAATTATCCGATCCAAACCATATGCAATTTCAAATATTTTCCGTGGGTGCAAAAACCATATGAAACAGGAAAAGGGAACTTTAAAGAGATTAGTGCAGCTATTCAAATAATTCCTTCTCTCCCGACTGCTGACTAACTAGTGAGCAATTCAGTCAGTGAAACCACTATTTTGCTTATCCCTTTCTACCTCTACACTGTATTACATACAGTACACACTGTTTCACTAGTCTCTAAAATAGCAAAATCAGCTGAAAAACACTTCACGCGCCGTTGAGCGGGTGTAGACATTCCGCGTACTCCCTCGGTAAAGAATACATAATTCAAATCAATCTGGCTTAACTCGACCCTAAAATATATCATAAAGAGATTTACGACCTTCTAATATATCATGAAATGAATGACAGTCAATGTCCGTGTCTGATTTTGCCTAGTTGTGTACTTTTTGGTCAAGTTTAAGTATAAATAAACTTTACCTGTTAAGGGCGTTTTCTATGGAGAAGAGCTGATTTATTGAGTTGGTCCAGACAGCTTATTTGCTTACATAATCCTTTGAGGGAATTCTTACTGATATATGTCTGATATCACCTTGTCCTGATTTGAATTTGGGACAATAAAATCAAGAGATGTCATAAATTATACAAGGCGATTTGACGTAATGGTCTTGATATTGTATATAAGAAGTTACGTTTGGACTCGGGTTGATAATAACTTATCTATATAAGACGATTACAAATTAAACCTATTGACGAATCAAAGATCGTGCCATACTCTTACTTAACATACAAAAACGTTGATCAAAATAAAACGATAGTTTTGTTACCCCTTCCTTCCATCTTAATTTCCTATGCCATTCTTTTTGCCAGCATTGCATTAAAATTGATGCAGCATATCAATTAATCATGAACGTTATCTGAAGCTACACTGGCTACATAGGGTATGGCTGCGTATAATTTCCAAATATTTTTTCTTCTTTTTTCCCCCAGAAAATAAGTTGTTTTTTAAATTATTAAAACAATAGACAAGAGAATAGTCCACTCTATGCGGTACAGCTTATGCAAAAGATAAAGGAGGCAGGTTTTGCGTAAGGTACCGTGAGCGGAGGAGTTCCGCGGATGTTAACTGGGAAGTTGTCTGGAGGCCAGGTTGCATTTTCATTTTATGTCATACATGTAAAACATCTACACGTTCTAAAGAAATACTAAGATTTATCAGGGTCTTTCAAATAGAATTATTTGAAAGACCCTGGATTTATACATCATCAAACCCGACAATTATTGAAAGACCATATTTTCACTTACTAATGAAAGAGTTATTTTCATGATTGCAACAAAACATTACAACGCATTAATTAACTGGGGGTGTCTATATTTTACATTTTACTAGTTTTCTACAAAGGAAATTTGCTTGTACAGTTTACAAAAATACTCGAATATGATTTTCCTTCTGAAATTTTTCCAACCTGACAGTTACAAGAAACACATTCATTCATTCATTCATTCATTCATTCATTCATTCATTCATTCATTCATTCATTCATTCATTCATTCATTCATTCATTCATTTTGTTTTATTTTGTTTTGTTTTGTTTTATTCTGATTTGATTTGATCATTATTTTTTTTTTTACTGATATGATGCGAAAGCACAATATTGAATACTGATTTTCACCACATATCGAACTACTTTACACCCTGACATAAAGTACTGGTTCTCCTTCACACCATGTCAATCATTATCACAGAAAAACCCCGTTATATAACGTAAAGAATTTCATCAGATAATAGCCGTTTGATCTTAAAATGTGTTTTTGTATCTTACGTCAAAATTATCGCCAGAAACCTGTTAATCTCATTATCATTTTATGCAATAACGTTCTCTTTTTTTCTTTCTTTTTTTTTCACTGACGTTTTAGAAGTCATTTGTACTTATATATTCTTGGCAACAAGTTTGAGTAATCTTTGAAAACAATTAGTTTAGTAGGATAGGAATAACAATTTTCTGAATTCTGAAAAAAAAAAGAGAAAAAAACTTGCCGGTTAGAAAACAATAAATGTTGTTTTAGTTTAATGATATTTTATTGTATATTTTGTACATGATAAATTTACACAATCTAACATCATTATCTTTAGCATAAATATAATGTGCATACAAAAGGGTTGGACCCAAAGTTATACCAACATTATCTAGGGTTGTTAAAAAGTTGTTAAAAAGAGTTTTCACTAAAGTATAATTTAATCGTAATTTCTGTTAAATTTCCTTAAAATGTTTGATAGTTACTTTTGTCTATGTGATATTTTTTTTAATAACCGAATTTATAATTTGTTGTTAATAGATCTTTAGGTAATATCCCTGGTTACTAAATTCAGACATACAAAACACTTTCACAAAGTTTTTTTTCTTTCTTCTAATTTACATATTTAGTCGGCAACTTATTCCGCCTGGCTACAAAGACGTCATGTGCAGTTAATATTTCCACTAAATGTAAGTACATAATGTATATAAAATAAGACAACGCTATCGTTGGGAATAATAAATGTTCCCCAGAGTAACTGATTATCTAAGAATAATTCATGTGATAAAGATTGGGGTACAGAGAGAATATTTTATAAAAAATATAGAAACCATGGTTAAACCTGCTGGAAAAAAATCGGCTGCGCCATGACAAAACCAACATAATGCGTTTGCGACCAGCATGGATCCAGACCAGCCTGCGCATCCGCGCAGTCTGATCAGGATCCATGCTGTTCGCTTACAAACCCTATGGCAAGTAAAGAAACTGATAGCGAACAGCATGGATCATGATCAGACTGCGCGGATGCACAGTCCGGTCTGGATCCATGCTGGTCGCAAACGCATTACGTTGGTTTTGTCATGGCGCGGCTCAAATATAAATCAAATGGGATAGGGTACAAAACACTAAATTGTCTAATGAAATACTTTTATAAAAGTAATAAACGCTAAAATCATGTTGTTTATATAATCTTATGAGTGATTCTCCTGTGAGTTGTAACATAGAATGTAGTTTATAAAGCTATATCTAATGAAATAAAAAAAATTTTATAAAATTAATAAGCAGTAAAATCATATTGGTTCTATAATCTTATGGATGATTCTCAAAAGAGTTGTAACATAGAATGTCACTGTTATTTTACACATATGAATACTGTACATAAACAGGATAAAATGTTCCGTAGGGTTATAACCCTTTCCCCCATGAGCATATTGTGAAAAATGGCCATTTTCACTGAAAAGCCTCCTCTTACAAGTTCAAACTGCTATGAAACTATGAAAAATGCTTTAAGAATAATCAAACTTGGCACAAATGTTGACTGGACCATTGCCTTTGTAACGACATGCTCAGTCTTAAATTTCCTGTTACCATGGCAACGAGGGGACATCTCAAAATTGCCAAAAATCACTATTTTGTCTCGATTTTTTTCCATCAAAATTTATTTCAAAGTGCTGCAACTTCTCAAGGGATTGACATAGAGTCAAAGGCTTTTCAGCGTTGGTTACACGTTACCTTATGATCGACCTGGGGTCGTTTTAAGCCTCTCACAAGTCCAAAATTTTCTTGGCGATGAGGGGGACTCCGCCCCCCCCTTCAAACCCCCCAAACAGAACTTCTGGCAACCCCCTGATATATCTTTTGGATGGGGGCGGCGCCGAAAAAGTGCTCACTTTTTTAAGCAACATTTCTCAAACGAAAACATGTGTTTGGGGCCTAAATAGGACATTTTTTCACTATTTCAGGCCTAAAAAAAGGGGGAGGGGGTCGAAAATGCGTTGTTTCGCGTATATATGAGGTAAAGGGTTAAAGCAGCACGCTTCCAGATTCAAGCTAATTTTCATGAAAATTTTGAAATGTATCTAAAAGTATAATATTGTGAAGTGACCAAAAGGAAGCAATTTACACATTATCAATAGCACTTGCAACCCACGTAAATTACAGAAAAGAGGTCATAATATGCAAAAATAGCAACGCAGTAGAAATATAGTTATAAATACAGAAAAATCAGTCACTAATCGCACATAACATGAAAATTATTAATTGAATATTGAATCTTTTTACTTTTTCCTAAAATCTTAGTATATTTTTCTCAAGTTTGATTTTATTTAAATGTCTTGGCTCATCTGGCATGTAGCTTTAACCGTTTAGCAATGATTTTGTGTATGCACAATTTCCAAGGAAATATACAAACATATTTTTTTCATACCTTTATTACGGGAGTACATGTATTCGTTTTCAAAATTCAAACAAAATTTTGTAATCTACAGACATCTGATATATACACTTTAAAACATGTCCTACAATTCCTACCACGCCCATTTAAAAGAAAAACGAGTTATGAAAAATGATCATAAGTAAATCATAATATGTTGACTTATCCAGTTTCATATGGAACAACCTAGGGGTTTCGATGAAATTTCCAAGACAAGATAAACAAATGAAATATAAAATTATCTTACAAAAATGATGCTTCTATGTCCCGATGTTCTTTTTTATCAATGCAGCGAATGAGATGGTGTATTTTTCAGAAACAAAATTTCATTATATTTCTGGTCGCCAACAAAAATGATCACTCATGAATCAGATTCACGGAAGCTTCGTGGAAGCCCTAAATATAATCCCTGATTATTTGCTGGCCAGATGTACTTTAGGCCATATCAAGTGCACTGCAGTTATGTATCCATTGAGGTAAGTAATCGCAAGTTCGATACCTTACAAGCGGTTTAAAAGGGAGACAATTCAATAACAAACATATGAGACTGATTGCACAGCTATCTTTCTTGATCAGTTTAATCGAGCATGGGTGTCACGACATTGAACTTACCACTATTTATGATGCCTCGTTTTCACATTAAATACACAAAGAGAGAAAAATAAATTGCAAAAAGTGTAAAGGAAAAACCAAGATACATTGTAAATTATTTTGTATACGCTAATCTAATTTTTATATTACTTGAATTAAGACTTCAAATGCAAATCGGCCCTTGTGGCTGAGGGATGCCTTTTTATGGTTGAGGCACAAGAATTGCAGTCATCGTTTATAATAATGTTCTGTTTTCTGTTATTTCTTGTAATTATGTATGTAAAATCCATCATCCAACTTTTCTGTAATCATTGTGTATGTTTTGTACTGTATTCATTTACAAAATTAATGAATGTTCTGGTATATACAATGATTATGTTAAATATAAGATGAATATGTAAAATGTTT